GTACACAGTAATCTTCCTGACTACAACACATTCAGCAGCACAATTCTTAGTAAAAGAAGGGGGAAATTAGCAACCCAAAGTGCTGCAACAAAGAATTACGCCCATGCCAAAGCATAAATGCCGAAACTGGCTATCAGTGCAACCTCCAATTTTAAATAGTTAGGTCACAAATTGAACATACTCCCCTAATTAATCACTTAATGCTTCAAAATTTTCTCTCATCTATTTTTTTAAAGTCTTCCTCTGTGCACTGGAGAAGAACTTCATTTAAGTGATTTCTTTATTTGCTGGAGGTAGAACTTTTATGTAGGCTTAGAAGACCGTAGCTGGTAACAAGAACAAGCTAGTGTCAAAGTAGCTTTCAGGGACAGAGCATGTGCAAAACACCTGAAAGAGGACCCCAATATCCAAGCAAACTACTGTAGCTTAACAAGGTACTACCTGCCACGGGTATTGTAACAACTGACCACAGGTTTGTTTCAAGCCTGTGGCTAATGGAAAGCAAAAGTACTTCGGCCTTTCTTACTGGCGTTTGAGCCATCAGCTGGATCAATTCAACTCAAAAGGTTTATTGTTTCCCCTGTTCACATACTCTGAGACAAGCATTCCTGCCAGTATTTCTACTGAATGTCTCTTACTAGTTTTAAATTCACACACTTGACTCAAGCAATCCAACCTAAAAGCAATTATGGAAAATATTCAAGTACTCCGTTCCACAGAGAAATAAAAGCACAAGACAAAGTAACAATTCAGGATGTTATTGCAGAATGTTAAGCAATATCTGTCTTTTATGCTACGGAAGAGGGAATTATTTCATCTAAGCTATAATGAAACATGTAGAAATTGGAAATGAATGTCCATTTAGATGGCTTTGTGCTAAAATGCAAGAAAAATACAATTTGCTTAATAAACTGCTGTCACATTTGAAACTGAGCTTTACCATAATCCCCATTAAAGACTTTTAGGGACAGCTCCATCAGTTTAGTACCTTTAACACAAATGGATCAAGCCTTGCAGTGTTCACTCAGCACAAAGGAGACATTTTCAAGGAGTGTTTGAAGTGCAGGATTTCTGACAGAGAAGGCAGACACTACCACTTACGGAAGCACATATTTATACAGGTTCTTAAAGGGTGTGGTATTTTAGCATTTAAAGATAGATCCTCCATATAACACTGGTACTAAAAGGGGAAAATCTCTTCCCACACTGGATCAACATGCCACGTTACATGATCCTTCCCTTGCATTTTGTTTTGACGTAAATTGGGAGATTGGCTCCCAGCAAGCCCACCAGGCACTTCAGAGCTGTCCTCTGGGTCTGTAACACTCCCCCACACCAACACTGTTGGTGTCCAGTTCCAGAAAACAGGTTTTCCCTTTAAAGAAGGACAGGGAACTTGTGCCATATGGATGACGCAGTGTGTAAGTTAGCTGGCTCCCACAGCTCACTTCACCCAACAGAGCCTGCTGGACATGGGAGCTGAAGGTCCTTTACCAGCAAAGTTGCATCACCAAAAAGCCCTGAGCACAGATCTCACCAGCCACCAAAGAGGGCTGCACAGCAAAGTGCTGGGAACAAAGGTAGAAATAGCAGCTGTGGTGTTGCCACTTTTTGCTGCTCGCTCTCTCACCATTTCAGGGAACTCTTACTCCCCTAAGGATCCTCCAGCAGAAAGGCAAATGAAAAATATGTTCCAGGATTTTGGACAAATTGAACGTATGTTTTAATACACTCATTTTTCAGGAACCTTATTGCTCTTTAAGATAGAAATGATGAATTACTGTGTATATTTTGGAGTTATTCCTTAAAAGAATGGCAAAACACAGGTAATAATTTTAAAACAGCGAGAGGTATGCCAATTACAAAAGTACTTCTATTGTAGTAATGAGCAATTTCAATATTCCTGCTGTAAAGGGAAGTTCCTGGAATGTGGTTAAACTAAATTCTGCTTGGCTCAGAGCCATGCAAGTATTTTTTTCCCCACATTCCCATCAATTACAGAAGTATAGTAAGTGTTTTTGTTCTTAAGTGCACTATTACAGGGGACACAAATAAGCCATTTTTCTTCAAGTGGTTGGAGCTAAGATTTCTAAAATACCGTATTACACATTTGGCAGACTTGAAGCATGATCCAGTTTTTACCCGTGTTGCATTAGTAAGTCACGCCATTTGAATCAGCTGAAAATGGTTAGTACAACTGCATGTCCTAACCAGACTACACGTGCTTACGATAGTAGTAGAGCTGTTTTACTTCAGTGCTGGTATAAGTATTCACACTTGGGACCGCAGTCATCATGAGCAGAGAACAGCTACTGTTAACTGTTTATGTGCAAACAATAGCAGATATGTACCATGAAGGAACCATTTTAAGGAAAAACTACATTGTATAAAGTCAGAGTTACCATTATAAATCCATGTTTTAGATTGATGATTTTAAACTGAGGCTTTATAAGAACAATTAATAATCCTACTAACAAAGAAAAGCTCAGAGGTATGCACATACTTTGCATGCTTTTTAGAGTGAAATACATCAGTCACAAACACTGCCTTTCATCACTGACAAAGTCTACCAAAATGTTAAAAGACTCCAAAGTGCAACATACAATGCATCTCAGATGTAGTCTGCTACGACCCCTCTTAGAGAGGTCCCAAACTATAGCATGAGGTTGAGAATATGAGTGCGTTTCTAAGGATAACAATTACTAATTTTCTTAAGTCTCCAGTCCCATGTGGGGTACACAACAAAACCACATCTGAGGTGCAGAGGTATGTTTCTACAACACTAGTGTAAAAAATAAGTGTCCTATGGAATTAACCATTATCATGAAACATGATAAATTAACCACAGAAACTATGTTTCCATGCTCAAATCTGACTCATACGACCATCTTAGAAGAGAAATCCAGGTGTCTCACAGAGTTAGGTATCACCTTATTCACGTTCTGCCTAGTCTTGTATCAGGGGTACCTGACCACATAAAGATGGAATCTAGCCAGATCCACAGGTAGGGATGTTGGGGAACATGGTTCCGTTCTCTTTAAGGCAAACTGGTAAACTCCAAGAGCTGAGGGGTCTGACCTTATACATCAGACTGCTACTGGCATGAGCTCTCTGACTAGTGCTTGGATGACTGTGAGACAACTAGGGCAATTAGAAATCGTTAAAAGTGAAATTACGAACATCTTGATCCAGGAAGACAGCCTGATTTTTTGGACAGCTTTATACTGGATAGTAAGGAGATCACATTTTCTTCAGTTAAATTTGATCTCAACTACAGTAGCGAAAACTGAGGTAAAAGCATCACCTCTTTGCACTCCATCAATAGAAAAAGTTCTGCAGTGCTTTTGAGATCTGATCAGATTCATTGTCCAGTAAATGCAAGAAAATATTTCCCCACTTCAGAAGAGACACCAGATCACATCCTCAATTAGGTACAGACTTTCTTTAACACTATTAGAAAAGGAGAAATACCTGCTTTGCAGATATTCACCTACCCTCAGTGTTTTCAGAGCCTATATCAATAGCTGTTTAACAACAACCAAAAAAGTTAACCAGCATATTCTCATTCAGCATCTTGACTACTGCCAAAACACCTTACTTTCAGGCTCTAGTGTCTGCAATTTTCTTCCCCCTGAATTCATTGCAAAAAAAAAAAAGAAAAAAATCTGCTCATAAAGCCCCGATAAAGCCTTCTTTCATGGTTCAACACTGATCAGAGTAAACTTGTCTTCAACTTTTCCAATGTCTGTCCTTCACCTTTACATTAGATGCCAACTGTATTGAAGAAAAAAGTTGACCAATCCCTATGACCTTGCTCTAGAATTTTAATAATTAACCTCAGACAGCCAGTGTTCAATTCCTTATGACAGTGCTTTCTACATTAAACTACTCTTAGGCTTCTTTCGTTTTCCTCCTTAGTCATGCAAAACATTCTCCCCTACATAATCCACACAGCTATTATCTTATATTTCTTCAAAATTTCTTCAAATGCCATCTTTGGTCTCATGTCTGCCCATGGTTACATCAAGATGGCTGGTTAATAGAAGAGTGAAATTTCTGGCTTTCTCACTCCTTGTATTTTCTCTTCTTACATGTCTATTGTTACCATTTGTTTGTGAACATGGAGTTTCACACCAAAAAAAAATAAAATCACACCCTCAGCAAAGCTGCACCAAGTTTTCACAGTATAGGCTTACTTATTCCAGTATTCATATCCTGTCTTTCTTTCAATATACGATTTACCTGACTTGTTCTCTAGGCTTTAAAACCTCTGGGGCAAGAATTACCACCTCTGCTCATACTATATTTAACACAATAAAGACTAAAATAGGTTAAAGCTCTCAAATGTTACTACAGTATACTGCTTTTTATACGGTCGATTCTGGTAGATTTTATTGGCAATAGTTTGTGTGCTATAACTATGCACAGACATGTATTCTATTATCATCTTTCACGTGGAAAGGTAACTATTGCCCCAAACCCCTTCCGGATACGCAGCTGAAGAAAGATTTGCTCCATCTAACAAAGGGTGGTAAAATTCAGCCTTCCTTCACAGTGGAGTGGACAGCCAAGGCAGGGCAACCTATCTGTTGAATGCTGAAGAATGGCAATGCTAAGGGAGTTCAGAGTCACTTTTAAAGAAGTCTATCTCCTACTCTAGGTGGTTAGGCTAGACTACTTACAATATAACCATTGTTTTGGTGCTGAAAGCACCAATGCTTTCGTTCTAGGCCACATGAGGTACTGCTGATTCACTGTTCTCCTTCCATTACATGCTTGTAAGTCAAGCAGCACAAAAACTCTGATCTCCATTAAGACAGTGTGCAAAGCAAGTGGCTGTACCCCATTTTGACTCCTCTTTTTGAGACAGGAAGCATATAATAATATTTTTAGACGGAAGTACTACAACATACTAGGCTTTAGGAAAGGTGATACTATGGAATCTCAGTAGTACAACATCACAGTCCCCTGGTTATAGATGACATATGAAATGGACTTACTGAAAATTCTTTGATTAATTTTCTTAGTTCCCTGTGCCCGTGCTTCTCAGCGATACTTGCTGGATCATCTCCATATCTGTTGATTATTTTGCAAGCCTGGGTAGCCTCAGGACAATTGAGTAGAAATGTTGCAAGGTTCTTTAATCCAAATCTGGCTGCACAGTGAAGGAGCGTAGGAAATTCTTCCAAATGGCTATCTGTATATGGAAACAAAGTTTTCATGAAGAACGGTTTTGCTTTCATAGAACACTTTCTTGTTTCTTTTACACAAGTCCTTTGAATATTAGTGCTATAGAATCACAGTTATCAAACTGCCAACACAGAACTTGCATCTAAAGAACAATTCCTCCAACTGTCTTACAATTCACATGCATATTTTAATAAGGGAGCCCTTAGCATAACTGAGAAATCTAATTTTTTTCTGACAGAGGGATTTTAAAGCACTTTAGTTCTGTTGAAAAATAAGTTTTCTTGCAAGGGAAGAAAATTCTACAGTCAAGACATGCTTTTGCTTAGGTTTATATTATTTAATGCTTTAGGAATATTTTTTCATTGAGACATTTGAATGGGACATTTTTATAGGTTCTGAAAAATCACATCACTACCAGAGACTTGAAAAAAATTGTTTATCCCTGTAATGAAACATCAGAGAACTTAAAGATGAATGTATCAGATAATGATTTTTTGGATTTATCTGAAACAGCATAATATTAATTTCTATCACAGACTTCACTTTTCATCTTGAAGGACTAGGACAAAGCTAAACTGAAGTCAGTTCACCATTTCAGCAGTCCTGTATTCTAACTTTACAAGTGGCCACAAGTTACATACAACAACAAAATAAACAAAAAGAAAAGAGATCAAGCATAAACAATACTTTCCTCTGCCTTCATACTCTACTTTCTAATCACTCGCTGTTTGTTGTGCAGTAATTTGTCTATATATCAGCATGAAGTGTATCTCTTTTCCAAGTATGCATCCAGCCCACCCCAGGCACCATCAACTTCTTGCACCCTCAGGGTCTTTCCACAGTATCTTTACTACCCACTGCCTGAAAAAGTGCTTCCTCTAGTTTGTTATGAACCTGGCTCCTGCGACGTTCAATACACAGTCCCTAATTCATCTTATTCTCCATCCCTGTCTGCCCTCTCTGCACTCCTAGTGATTTACTCATTCCCAGAATGTCTTTCTTGAAAAGCTCCAGCCTACTTAATTGTGCCTTCTGGAAAATCAACTCCATCACCCCCACTGCTCTTTTCTGAACCTTTTCCAGCTTCAATGCAACTATTTTGAGATGACAGAAGAGCTGCACATGATACTCAACTTGTGGGTGAGCCATGTAATTTATGCATTGTCATAATTATGTCCTGTTTTGTTCTCTATTCCTTTTCTAATAATTCCTAGTATTTCACTTGCTTTTTGATCTGCTGCCTAGCAACAAGTTGATGTTATCATGGAACTGCGTAGTCTCATTCCTCAGTGCTAAAAGCCTGCTCAAAGTCTCTCATTTTGTATGACAACATAGAACTGCTTTTTCTACTTGTATTACTTTGTTTTTACCTACAATGAATATCATCTGACGTTTTACTGCATAATTACCAAATCTCATAAGGCCCTTCTCCCATTTTTTTTTCCCAATTAGCCCTCCTCCTCACTACACCGAATACTTTGTATCACTAGTTTTTTCCAACTGCCTGCCTCCTGGTTTTGGCCAGTTACTCATCCATGCCCAAACAATTACTGACTTGATCAGGTTTGCTGACTCTTACAATAAACTGTAAGAAAACTATACAGCAAGACTTCACACTACAGAAAAATTATTTTATTACAATTTCTGTTAATTTGTCTGGCAGACAGAACATATTAACCTGATTCTAGTTCTCAAGGTTCCCAGAGAAACTGGGTTTTGGCATCATGGTTATACCTTCTAGTACTACAGTACTGAAAAAATACACACTACTGTTAGAAATCCAGCTACTTTACTTCTAAATCTCCTCAGAGCTCTTAATGAATGCCAGTTAGTCCTGGCAATTTCTTTGTGCTCAGCGTACCCGTTTCTTCTATAGCTTCATGATTCCTTCAACTCCAGACCGACTCCACATGTCTCCCAACCAGGACTACAGCTTGGGAATCTATACAGTTTCTTTTAGCTTTCTTCGATTCTCTTTTATATCCCAGTCATCAGTTGTCCTACAGGCTAGCCAGCACATCTTCAGGCCTTCATGTGCTGGAAGAAAGACTTAGTAGTGGTTCTGACTCCTTTCAGAATTCTCTTAGCTGCCATTCTTTAACAAGCTTTCTCATTTTCACATCCTTCTACATATCAAAATGTGTCTCAGCAGTGGTGAATTTGTGTACCTTCCCCTCACCTCCCTTTTTACTCCTGCTGAATGTCAGTATGGGAGAGTGCAAAACACCACCTCACCATTAGATATAAGGATTCACGGAACAAGAACGGTTCTTGGAATAGGCAGAGCTAAATACTGATGAACCGGAAAAATTGTTAGGACAATTCTTGATTGCATTTTGGAGAAAGAGTATTCCACTGCTATCGCAGTCCAATACTGTTTTGACACAAGGTATTGGAGTGGGCTACATTTTAGTCGAAAGTCACATGAACAAGCCTAAACTGATTTTTAAACAAATTGAGTGTTGCCTGACTTTGATTTCCACCAGGCAACTAAAAATCCAACCAAGAAACTGTATATATACAGCACCCATGTAAATCAAGTAACTTATTTTAGAAGCCTTGTCAAGCTGAGCTTCTGTCAACAAGGGCATGTGTTTTAGCTTATATTCCTTTGTAATTGCAGTGTGCTTTAAAATCCTTTGAGTTACAATAGGTAATCATAAAACTGTATAGCAACTAAGGTCTTTGAGAGAAGTAAGTGCTGCACAACTTCTTTACTCAATACTTCTATACGTTTTAACTGAAGTTTCACTAATTCAACTTAATTCTGTAATTAGAAGAGCTATAAATGCTAGCTCAGAGTATAGCCATTTGACTACTTTTTGTTTACACTTTATTAACTACAGGGAAAAACTAACCCACCCACAAACTGAGGCAAATATATACCAACTTAAGGAGCTGTCACATGAGAATAAAGTGTAGGCATGTAATTTTGAGGCTGTGACAACAGCATCAAAACTTAGTGTACTTTTACACATTGCACAGGGTTCTCAAACAAAAAAGTGTCCAAGTCCAAGCTAATATTTCAAAATATATCCACAAATCATTGTCAAATTGCTTTTCTTAATGCTTCTGTCCTTCATTTTTTGTTTTGTTTGGTCCTTTTTTTTTTTTTTTTTAATGCTCAAAGACATAGGTGTTGAGCAGTAATTTTAAAGAAGAGCAAATTACTTGAGCTCTAATAAATAGCCTGCATCCTGTTAGCAGACTCCAGAAGGCCAAGTATAGTCAGTAAAAAGAGCCTTAACAAAGTATTAATAACATGCTCTAAAAGAATTTCCACTCGTGCTAATGAAATTTGAAACAATTGGTTACAAACCTGAAAGGGGAAACAAAGTCTGTATTACCAATGGACTGGATGCTATGATTTCTTCATCAGTGTAAGAGAAAAAGAGTCAGTGCTATTCATATGCCTGCTCTAGGCTTATATTTGAGTTTTCAAAGTAACACAAAACAGAGGTATCCCCAAACTAACTCCGAAATCCCTTCAGCTCCTTTGCAGTTGAGCTGTTTTTTCTGGTTACCACTCAAACTCCTCCTGAGCTATGTTTGATATTCAAGCAAAACTGCTACACTTGTATACTTTGTACATCACAGGAGACATCATTAACAAATAAAATAACTCAGCCAGCCATGGAGGATGGTAAAAATCAATAAATCAATTTCCTAAAACAAACTATTTTTATATTATTATTTTCAGTAAGCAGAAAAAAAGGCTGTCTTCATGTATGAAAACCTTAACAGCAACATTGGTAGTGAGTTCTTTTAAATAAGACTCAGAAAAGACGTAAGTGAAACAAATGTTTTTACCACCACATAAACAATATTAAAGCACTTTCACCAAGAACAGCAGATAGAAATTGTTTCATTGATTTCTTATTTTGAGAATGAATATTCAGATACCCATATACCCTCACCACTACTTGGGCTACATGAGCTTTGTTATAAAATCATACAGCCTCAAAATATTGGTTCTAGTTATGACTGTAAGTGAAGGAGCCATTGAGGATAGTGCTATTGCTACATACAGACCTATCACTCACCAACTTTGTACAACAATGCAACAAAATTCCATACATATATGCAGATATAAGCAGGACTGGTTTTATTCAGTAGCAGAGGGATTTTCTTTTTGTACAAGATTCAATGAGATGTTAGAAACGCAATTTCCCAAAAGGTTAGTTTTAAACAAGTATAAATGCTAGCATCACCATTACATCTCTGAACAAAGAAGCTACAAGGATTACATTATTTTCTTGGGAGTGTGTTAAATCTAAAGACAGAACACAATTACTGAATTGTTAATTCCAGGATACAAATCTTGCTTGAGACACAAATCTACTGACAATCATTATAAATTAATCTCTTCTTTTTTTTTCATGGCACCCACTTCAAAAACGAGTATAAAAGGGAAAGTTCTGTTCACAGAGTAATTCAAATGACTTTCACAATATGAATTTCCAGCCTATGCTTGAAATAGGTGCAACAAACAAGAATGCCACCAAAAGACCCCAAGTCCAGAGAGGACAAATAACATAAATTACAAAATTATTGTAAACTATCTCCTAATTTCATTCAAGAGCTCTCTCTGCAACACCTATTGTTACAGATAAATTTAAATACTATGGTGAAATCAATTTCCATAATTAATATGGCTTTATTAGTTGTAAATGAGCAACTGACCCTTGAAAGTTTTTTAGTAGTACAAAAAATGATGGTATATAATGTCAATTCTAAAAGGAATAGAATGCTCTGGGGGAAAAAAAAATCATCACATTTACACCATTATTGGTATACTGTTTTTACATGTAATACAGAGTAAAATTGGCTGCCTGAAATATTTTGTATTACAAAATATGTAGTTTGCGCTTTCTATGACTGATTTTTTTTAGCCATGAAATTAAACACAGCTGCTTTCCACTAACATAGTTGTATGAACACACTCTTCTTCCCAGCAAAGATTCAGCAAAATACAGTACTGACAAAACACTGGATTTTTCCCAGGCC